GAATGAATAACACACTTTGAAAAACACCATACCGAGGACCCTGTAAAGGGATCACACACTTTTGTCCAAAATCCCTGTGATGATGACACAGTGACCATATCTAAGCAGAAGAGTAGTTATTTTTGGAACTATTAGCCATCTGAGCAGCTGATATTTTTTTGGAGATATAATTCACTAACTTAGAGCTAACAGTTTAGTGGTTTTTAGTGCACCCGCAATGTTGTGTGACCATCAGCACTGCCTAATTCCAGAACGTTTCTACTACCCCCCAAAGAAACCCTGGACCAATTAGCTTAAACAGTCAATTTTTTATAAATACTGGCATGGGCCAGAAACATGCCATGAGCCCCAGTGACAGAGGACAGGGAAGTAGGGAGTGGACAGCAGCCCAGGAGCAGCTGCCACGCTGTCCCTAACAGAACCCGGGGCTTCTCCGTGGGCCATGGGACAGTGATGAGCCTTTCAGTGTAGGTCTCACGGGGGTCCACAGACCTGGGGCAACTGGGCAATTTGGTATGAAATGTACAAAGAAATTTAATTCATTATCTTCTTAAGTTCAAAAAGTGGTCTACACTTTTATTTGAGGTTAAAGGAAGTGGCTCAATGATGGAGAGGGAATTTTTGACATTTATTCTTAAAATCAACATCGAATCTGGCAGATATGTCATCTGGAAGCCAAGCTTCAAATTAAAAGAACACGTTCCACTTCACATCCAAGTACTTCATTTGATTCAGCTTATGATTACTTCCCTTTCTGAACTAGAAAAAGTCAGAGTCAAATGTCATGCCTGTAAATGAAGAATATGCTGTGGATTTTTAAAAATCTCTCCTTGAGGGAAAGAAAAGTACAAATCACGCTTTTTGAGTTCTAAGTCAGGTGCAGGCAGGAGAGGCAGCCCAAGGGGTGCCGCACAGGCTCTGGAGTCCGGCTCACCACCTGCCTGCTGCTGATCTTGGGCAAGTGGCTGAACCTCTCTGCACCTCGGTTTCCTTGTCCATAAAATGGGGATAATAACAGCACCTACGCCGTAAGGCTATTATGAAGATTAGATGGATCACTACAGGGAAAGCCCCTGCCTACCCATACCACCAAGTGAATAAAAGTTAGCTATTATAGAGCTAACTTTGGGGTCTAAAATGTCAGTGAGCTCCAGCCAGAGAGAAGGTTCTGATGACCCCCTACATATGATAAGAAGGGTGAGCTCACAGCAATGTTGTCCCCCTCCTTTGCCTGGGTCTCAAGTGGAGATCAACCAATGAGAAAAGCTCCCACTCTGGCACCAAAGGCCAATCCTGCTCGGTGGACAGGGGCCAGGGGAAGAACCCTGTGGGTGAGCCCAGGCCAGGGCTACTGTGGAGGCGGGACATCCGTCCTGTGCAGACACGTCCTGTGCAGACGCGTCCTGAGACCCGCCTCCGGCCCTTCGCACCACCCCAGGCAGCAGAGGACCTGTTAACACTCACCTGTCCCGGCCAGCTGGCCACGCCAGCTGCGGGGAGAAGTATCTTCTGCAGGCTGGGAGGGGGATGGGTGGTGGGTGAGGAGGTGGCTGGAGTGACCTTCACCCTACTCACACCCTTCGTCTGAACTCGGGTTAAAAGGTGGCAGTGTGGCTGTCCATGACAATGGCTGGGAGACTTTGGAAGAGCTAATACACTTCACCTGGCCTAATCGCACTTTCTAGCCAGTCCCTGTAACCACCAGCCAATAAAATTCACCATGAGTTTCTCACTCCGCATGTTCCCGTCTTCGTGTCTTTGCTTGGCATCCCACTTCCTCTGTCCAAGGACCCCATGTGGCCCTCCCTGGCTCTGGTGGGGTGGGGGTGGGGTTCTGTCCCCACTTCTGGGACAGTGGAAATGGATACAACTTTCTGTGTCAAATATGCCAGAACCCTATCTTTCTTTGTGCGATCCAGGAATTCTATTTCCTGGAATTCATCCTAAGGACGTGACCATACAAAGACTTGTTTATATGACATCTTTGGCTATTAACAATCACATTTTTGAAGAAGAGTATTTGATGACAGAAAAAAGGCTGTCAATGCTCAAACCTGAGCCAGTAGAAAAACCCAACAACAAACAAAAAAAGCCTAAAAATATAAAATTATCAAACAGAAAAAGGATACTAAACCATATGAAACTTAAATTGTGTTAAAATATATGTATATAATATTTAAAATGCATCAAAGTTAAAACTAGAAAGAAACACATCAAAGTGCCAACAGTGTCACCACCTCTAGGTGGCAGGACTGCCAGTGTGGGCTTTGTTCCCTGTCTTCTCTCGTTTGATCAGGACACTGTGCCCCTTCTTTTGGTGAGGACCCCTCAATCTTTCTCTGGAAAGCTGCCCTCCGCCGTCAGCGGCGTCTGTCAGGATGCCCGGGGCTGGCACGGAACCCAGGCGCAGCTGATGGGCTTCTCTCCCCTGCGACTATGAATCTCGGGCGATGAAACCCGAAGACGGACAGAACAGAGCTCGAGTGTCTTGGGAGCATCTACACTGGGCAGACCGTCTTCGGGTTCTGGGCCTTGTTGTCTGGCACCTGCTTCTTCAGGTTTCCCTTGGACTTTCTGAGCAAATAAACACCCCCCTAATAAATCCCAGCTTTGTTCAAGTTAGCCAGAGGCTGTCGATGCTGCTTGTGACTGAAGAGCCCTAACTGACATCTGTCTCCTCTTAAATGTGTCCTGTCTCTGAATCCTCTCCAATGACCGGGTGCTACTCGCAGGGCACGGTGGGGGCAGACACAGGCTCTGGGACGGAGAGATTGGGACCAGGCCCCGCTGGATGCACCATCCTTACACCCAGTAAACGAGCCGCCCCAGCTCTCTGAGCCTCAATTTCCTCAACTGTCAAATTAGAAGAACATTTCTGTTTCACAGGGAGCTGTTGTAAGCCTCGAAAGTGCTAATAAAAGGAGAGTGCCTGGCATGTCAGAGGTGGCAAACAGACAGTGAGCATCACTGCCAACAGGTGTCTGATGACTGTCTTGAACAAAGGAATCTATTCATGCAGCAACGGCGAGTCTCGCAGTGGGCCAGGCACGCCGGCCTGGGGTGTGCAGTGAGCAGGACGGCCAACACTCCAGCCCTCGCATGGCTCGCAGGCGCGTGGGGAGACGGACAAAGAACAAGCCACAGACGAAGACACAACCCCGTTTCAAACAGTGGGAAGTGTTATACGGGACGCACAGCCAGGAGATGAAACGAGGGGAGAAAGAACATACTTAAATATGCTGAGGCCTCACGGATGAGATGGGACCAGGCCTGCAGCGTAGGAGGGGACAGTCCAAGCTAAAGGCTCAAGGAACAGGGCCGAGGGCGTTGCGGGTGAAGGGGCAGGCAGGCCCTGCAGGTCGTGGCCAAGAGTTTGTATACGTGGTTTTAAAGGGAAACCACAAAGAGGTTTTAAGTTGGGCACTGATGTGATCTGCTGCACGAAAGGCCTTGTCAGCCCTGTGTGGAACTGAAAGGAGAGGACAGTTTAGGAGGCAGTTTCAGGAGTGCTGGGAAGAAATGCTAAGCTGGTGCAATGGGGAGACAGAGAAGCAGACAGATGCCACACGTCTTAGAAACAGAACCCACAGGAAATGGGACTCCCCGATGCCCTGGATGTGAGGCTTAGGAGGAAGGTGTCAGCAGGATGGCTGCCGACCTCTGGCCCAAGGAGGCCTGGGGGGAAGGAAGGATGTGCACAGGGGACCAGTGCCTCAGGGACAGACCTGTCAGCTGTGAGTGTGGAGCTCCACGGGCAGCCCTGGGCGGGCTGGGGCTACGCGGTGGGATGGCCAACACAAAGCAGATATGTGAACACTGGGAATGGACGAACGAGAGCCATCTGGTCAGCCCCACGCCTGTGAGTGCTAGACAACCACCCTGACCACCCAAGGCACCTGTAGCTCAAACAGGGGCTCCAGCCCCACAGCTCACAAACTTGAGGGTACATCAGATTCACCTGCTGGGCTTGACAAGCCATCATTGCTACTGCCAGGGTTTCTCATTCAGAAGGTCAGGTGGGGCCGAAAGACGTTGACTTCTAGCGAGTCTCCGGAGGGTGCCAAGCCTGTGGGTCTGGGGAGCTACTCGGGGATCACTGCCCTGCCCGGAAGAGTGGGCTTGGCCTGCCCGCCCAACTCCTTACTCACTACCTCGGGGGAGGTGCTTCCCCTCCTGGGTTCAACCGAACGCGTGGTCCTTGGGTGTCAAACAGGGTCAGGGTAGCTGCTGGATGGCAGGGTGTGGTGAGGACTCAATGGCATGATGGCACCAAGTGCCCACGTAGCGCCAGGGTAACTGCTCACTGAGCGTGGAGCATGGGCTCCCTTCCCACTGACACACACGGAAGGCACGTAACGTTGGCTGGGCGTGTGAACTTCGTTTCTGATATGAGGTCGGAAGGAGGAAAGGTCACGAGAAGACACTTGAAAGAACTCAGCCTGAAGGTCTGAAGCCCCCGAGCAAGGGAGGCTCTGGCACAAAACCCCACCTTCCTGGGCCTGGGAAGAGCTGCTGGGATGTCCCCAGGGGACACCCTGATGCCCCTCTGGCAAGAGTGCGCTCCTCCTGGGCAACAGACCTTTCCTCTGGGTGGTTTGGCAACCACGGGTTCCCAGTTTCCAGAGAAGTTTCAATTTTGTGTAATTCTAATTCTTTTCAATAAAGACAATAAAGTGGGTGTATAGAAAAATGAACCTTAGCTGTCTCTCCTTTGTAAGACTTCCATGGAAATAAGCCCACGTGCCTGCAACCCATGCCAGTCTGTCCTCACCCAGCATCCTTCACGAGGCTGCTTGGGCCGGGCTAGTTGGGGGAGATGGGCCCCCCAAGAGAACTCGCCTGTAACCAGGCCCCATCTGGTGCTTGGGAACCCAGGCTGGTGCTGCAGGGGCCCAGGGGAGGAGCACTGGGATGGTCCACGCCCGTCCCCCGGCATGCAGAACCCAGCACCCCAGCAGTGGCGCCTTGGGTAAGGCCTGACCACCAAGATGCAGCCTTACCTTCTCATAGGGACAATACCGGAACATCTTGATGGGGCTTGTGCAGATGAAGACATCAGTGCTGCCGACAAGAGAGAGGAGAGTGAGCCGCGAGTCCGGCCTTCGGCCTTGGCCACCACAGGACTTTGCCACCACGCCGCAGCCTTGGCCACCCACCTTGCCTTCACGGGGCTGGGCCCTCTCAGAGGCCGAGCCCTTCACCTGGGACGGCAAACCCACTGCCTTGTGTTACCTCCACACCAGAGATGTCAACCTTGCAGTTCTGTCCTGTCTGATGGCCCTGGGCACCCACGTGTGACCGCACCCTGGCCACAGGCAGCTAGCTCAGGGGTGGACATCTGACTTACAGCGTCTGACCAGGACCTCATGCAATGCAAAGTAGTAGGTAAAGAAATCTATGAGCAAGAGAATTCCGGTAACACGTGCAAGCTCTGGCCATGGGGAGCACCGAGGATGAGCCCGCCCCACGCTGGGCGGCGTCCTCCAGCACTGGAGTCCCTGGAGACAGGCCCAGGCTCTGCGTGAGGAACGCCACGGCCCCACGGGCTGCAGTTCTGTGCTGACGTGATGTGGGAACTGACCCAAAGGGCCTCCCAGGTACCCAGGTGTCACGGTGCCGGCTCCCCCCACACCCAAAGGGCCCCAGCCCCTCACCCACAGGGGGCTAGTCCCAAACTTCCTCAGGAAGCCTCTGGAACCCGCACCTGCTGGCCCACCTCACTGAGCCTGTGAAGACTGCATTGCTAACGTTTTCTTTGTGAGAGTCCCAGGTGAGACTGCCAGGTCTCTGGGACGTGGGGTGTGACTCTGCTCTCCTCCTGCCAACCATCCCACCCCTTGCACCTGCTGCTTCCCGCCAAACACCCACCTCTCCCGATGTCCTGCCCCCCTCACCCCCACAGGAACCGGCCTCACACAAGGGTCTGGTCTGCCTCCCTGGCTGGTCTCGGGTGAGAGCTGTTTCCTTCCCACACCTCGCAAACTTCAGAGATGGAAGGTGAGGAAGGCATCTTCCTTCTCCATTGCTCCTCCCCAGTCCCAGGTTCTGCTGACACTCACGCTGTGTGGCACACCCCTCTGCCTTCCTGGCAGCCACTGTCTACCCTTGCCAGGTACCACCCCTCACACCCCTCCCCCTTGCTGGCCCGCAGCGTCCCCTCCACCTGCCACCACCCCGTGACAGTCCACATGCACTGCACACCTGCAGACCCAACACCTGGCCTCTCAGTTCCCAGCCTCCTCGCCTCCAAGTGCCTCTCCGCACCCTGTCACCAGCAGCTCTCCCACTGTCCCACGGTCAGCCCTGGCGCTTGGAATCACTCTGCTGGAATCCCACTTTCGGGCTTTGCCTCTTTGGCAAACATCATCTCGCATCACGTGCTCAATTCTCCCACCTCACTGGGACAGACGCCTGCGGAGGCACCCGTCCTCGCGTCACCTCTCACCCCAGCTTCGTGGCCCCCTTCAGCCGGGGTTCTGTGGCCCATCGCCACGATCACTCTGCCTGCCTGTCTCTTCCTCTGTGGGGTGTGCTTGGCCAGGCCCCTGAAAGAGCCCGACTAGCCAACTCCTCCCACCTGCCCCGAGCAACTGAACGCTGCTGGAGAAGAGAAAATTCCCATCATCACATGGACCCGACTCCACTCCAGTTCCTGACACAAAGCTGGGCCCTGCCTGGGGGCCTCCTCCAGTGCCCCTGTGGCGCTACCAGCAAGGCTCCCGGGCTGCCATTCTGGGCCTGCAGGCAGCTGAGACTCCTCCCTGTGCTCCCCGCCCCCATCTGGAGGCCTGCTGTGTCTGGGCTCATCTCTTCTCCCTCCCATGGCACAGGAGGAAGAGGCCTCCTTGCCCTCAGCCGGCCCTCCACCTGCGCCTGCACTCTAGCCCTCCGACCTCCACGGCGCTCTGCCCCGCAGCACACACTCCTTCCCCCCCACGCGTGGGCTAGCACCTCGCATCTTAAACATATACGCGTGCAACGCCTTGACACCCACCCCTACTGCAGAACCTACCCAGCAAGCGGCCTCCACCTGCTGACCCCACATTGTCATCTCTTGTGCCGCCTCCCCCACTCCAGCCCATGCTCCGTCCCCCTCACTCTGCAGAAGTCGCTCCTTGTCAACAAGGACCTGCATATCCCTGTGTCAAGCCCACCTCACCCTGCTCAACTCCCCCAGGGCACTCAGCCCCTCGGGCACTGTGCTGGCTTCTGGCCTTCATGCCTCACCGTGGTCTGCTCCTCTCCCATGGTTGGCTCTAGGCCCCGGGGGCTCTCCACCTGCACCCCCACTGGGGCTATCACCCAGGCTTGTGGCTGCAAACACCGTGGACGTGCTGATTCGTCCCAGTCTAACAGCCTACTCCTGTGTTTGGAGTGCCTACTTCACCCCCCACACGGCGTCCACTTAAGTCCTGACAGACCCCTCGCTCGGTCCAGACTTTGCACACTGACTGACCACAGGAATCTTCTACCAAGTTAAGAGCAAAAACAGAGGAAAAGGATCAGGTATGGTCTGCACTTGCATTTCCCAAACTTGAATTCCTGCAAAAGTGTTAACAGGGAAGCTGTGAAGAAAAGCTCCCGGGCTAGAACACTGTTGAAGAAAGCTACTTAATTCAGTGTCTCCCACACTGTTTTGCCTCAAGACTGCCTTTCCTGTAGCATGCCTATCAAACCCTCAGAAGAGCAATAGCAGCAGCTAGCATTCGCCGAACACTTACGCACACCGGCACTATACTGAGGACTGTCTCCTTATCTTCATTTTACAGATGGAGAAACGAGACCCAGAACGTTTAATAACGTGCCCAGCGTCTGGGAGTGAGATTCTGGAGGAGGGGGACGTGAGCCTGGGCACCAACCTGCAGGGCCTTGCTGTGCCACGCGGCTCCCAGAACCCAGCAGGGGGACTCCAGGCCAGGACACGCCGCCCCAGGCTGAGTAGAGTTTCGAAAAGTGTAAGTGCTAACGCAGAACACACATGCTTTGCCTCTCTAAGCGCTTGCTACAGACCCATTATAAATCAAGTTCGTATCACAAACCAGAATAAAATATTAATGCACTGCTCTACAGGACCTGGACTCAAGTCCAAAGATAAATTACTGACTAAACAAAGTCTCCAACTCCTAAACTCTAAGCATTTTGTGTGTCTCTGATGCCTACTTATCATATTAGAACTTTGAAAATGAACAGTTTTTAGAGGCATTTATATGGCACAGTGAAGGCCAAAACATACCTTATGTTTGTCATTCAGGTTGAGAAATTCAAACAAAATTGTGGCCAATAAAAGTTATCCAAGTCTAGTAACAGACCCTTACAGTGGGGGCTTTAGCCCACGGAACCACTCGTTTTACCAGAACAAAACAGAAATATCTCAAGCAATACCACCCCTCCTTCCTTAAGCAACGTTTCTAAATGAGGCTTCCCACTAAACCTCCTTTCCTCCAGTTCTTAGTACAACCTGTGATTATCTTCACTCTGTAATTCTTTGTTGACTGTCTGCTCTCACTAGACTAGACGCCCCACGAGTGCAAGGGCCACACTCTGCCCATCTCTGAATCGCTGGTGCCAGCGGCGTCTAATAGTTCTTAGGTACCTGCTGACTAAATGAGGCTTCAACACCTGGTGAACCAGGTCAAATTAAATGAACTCTTTTCTCAAGTTTGTGTAAACCAAGTCTGTTTCACACAGCCCTGTGCAGGGCTGAGGCGAGGGAAGGGAGAGGGCGGGGGCGGGGGGGCGGTGCAGAAGGCAAGAGAAGGGAGGACGGCAGGAAGAAGGTACAGGCTTGGGGGTCCCAACAGGTGGGGCTGGGAAGACAGACTTACTTTTGTAGGTTGGCCATCTGTTTCACAGCTTCTATGGCCCCTGGCAGAGGCTCAAGTTCAAAAAAGAAATTCTTTGACTCCCAAATGCTGATGGCCTTCTCCTGGGAAGTAGAGAAAAGCAAGTTACTTCCAAGGTCCTCGGCATCTCGCTGCCCCCACCTCAGGAAGACATCAAGGCTGAGAAGTAGGGGGGTTCCACATTCCCCTCACCCCCCAAACACACCCAACGACGTATTTCCTGGGGAAAGGAGGCACACAGAGTTTGTGTGTGCTTCAGGGCCCTTTCCAGAAAGGATCTGACTTCTGTCGGGATCCAGCAGAGACCCACTCAGGCGTCAGAGCCATGGATTCCTGCACCCCCTGGAGCTCTGGGGGACCTGAGGCCACTCATCCGGAACCACGTGCTTGCTACGCTTGATTCCAATGGCCAGAGCGTCATGGGGGCTGAGGCTGGCCCGGTCTTGCTGAGGCAGCAGAGGTGTTACACCTGAGAGCTGGAGGAACCCAGAGAGTTTTACGGGCACCGATGAGCCACAGGGAACAGGAGAGGGGGCAGGAGGGAGGCAAGGTGGAAGGACGATTTGGGGAGCTCCAGGCTGCTCCCACAACCAGAACAACTCTGCTTTTATCTGCTTTACGTGTTGTGGTGCCAGTAAGTACATTTTTTTTTTAAAAAAAGGATCCCGCTGCTTTTAGTGTTAGAAGATAAAAATCTAGACCCTCAATTTACATATGAGAAAACTGAAGCTCAGAATGGGGAAACAATGTCACATGGCAAAACAGTGGCTGAGCTAGGAGGAGGACCCCATCGCCCAACTCCCAGGCTATTGCCTTTCTACCTTCTGTCACCGGGCCAGGCAAGGGAAAAGTGGCACAGGAAGGGAAAAACATCTTAGCCTCCGAGAAGTAGGAACCTGAATCCTACATGTGTGTGTGTGGGAAGTACCCCTTCCAGGTCAGCAGCTGTACCTTCCAGAACAACACCCGTCACATGTATGGCTGGAGAAGCTGAGATCATACCAGCAGTGCTCTTGTGAACCATAAGCAGCTGAGCAAATGTGTGCTTATTACTAATACGTTTGATCCTTGCAACCCAATTCATAGAGAAGGAAGATTTTTTTCAAGGCCACTTTGAGATGACACTATGAAAACTTGAACTCAGGGCTTCTGGTTCATATATAGAGACGGTGTGGAGGGGTGGAGCCAGAAGGTCCTGTCCCCTGCCATGTGGCCCTGCATTGAACACCCCACATCAATGAGCCTCTCTACCGATCTATAAAATAGAGCTAGGAGTCCACCCTTTCCTTCCAGAGCTATTGTGAGGATATAACAGATACACAGCATGGAGCACCTTGTAGGTAACGCCAGCTTCTCAATAGCCCTTCCTTCCCCAACACTAACTTGCTGTGAAACCCTGGTCAAGGCACTTGCCCTCTCTGGGCTCAGTTCATCTATCCTAACAGTTTAAGATTTTTAAGTCGGTTAAAATGAGCTTTGCTTTTCACCTCTGCCCTGATGACCCCTCAGAGTACTGTGAAGATCAAAGGGAATGCAGATAGAGCAGAATGTTGTGAGGTGGATATGCCACCTACATAACAGGGTTGTTTTGTTTTAACCACAGACACTGGGCCAGCTTGGCCAAGAGGAGGCATGTCCTGCAGGGAGCCGTGCCTTGGGAAGGGGAGCAGAAGTAGAGGAAATCACAGATCACTCCCAGAGCACCCTCCTCACTGCTCCATGAGCTCTGTTCCTTTGCCTTGTACTTGGAAACTGGTAACTCTGCATGCACAGAATCTGCACAAAGGAAAAGCCACTGTACTTTGCAGCGCTGCAGATGGGCTTAGTTTCATCACACTGATACACTCTTGGGAGGAAGTAAGGTGCCCAGACTCCCAGTGCTGTGCGCTGCCTATAAGAGAACACACACAATGCAGTGCAGCCTATTGCTGAGGCTGCAGAAATTACTAGGGCATTTCCTCCAGCTTAAAGTTTGTCATTGGGTGTCAGCTCTGGGCATACTGAGCTCAGTACAAGTCACCTTCTGAAGTGCCTGATGTTGATGAAAACAAATGGCACTTGGTTTCCCGTTTTAACACCTGTCCCTCAACAAACCACATTAGTAAGGTGCCCTTTGCAGTCAGAAGAAGGATGACTTGTTAGAGACTGCAGGACAGAGAAGAGGACTTTGGGGTGGAGAAAGCTAAATGAGCTTGGGAGGCAGACAAACTTATTAGCATTGAACTTGGGGCAAGTTTCCTCATCTGCACAATGGAGATAATCATGTCTACTCACAGAACAGCGGATGCAGAGAACTTGTGGTCACAAAATGGGCTCTAACACCCTCCTCCTCCTCACCATCAAATCCTCTGGCAGTGACCCTAGGTGACCACTCAAGGGAGCCAGAAACACCCAGTCTCTTTAAGTCTGTGCATGATGAAAATCCCCTACTCCTTTCACAAAATTGTTTAAATTTACAAACCAAGCTGTCTGGAATATCCTCCCCGGATATTTCCCCTCTCTTCCTCAGGGACTCAGAGGATGCAGCACAGCAGGACTGGGGGTAGGAGTGAGCTACAAGGGGACAGCATTGCAAGGGGACAAACCAAGAGGCGGACAAACCACTGACTCATTGCGTGATGCCCAGAAAGTCACTCAACAGCTCTGGCCCTCAAATACCACTAGAAGCTAAGCTTTCATGGAAAAGGGCAACATAATTGGTAAAGGCACCCACCAAATTCACGGGAAGGAAGAAATGGGACTGTGACTGCGGTAGGGATGAAAAAGGACTTAACGTGTAACGTCTATTTTATATTTTTAAAAATTTTACGAACGACTTGAAGCCAAATACACCACAAATTCAGAACTCAGCCGAAGGCGGAGAGTTCGGCTATTAGGCTTTGTACCCCCTGCATTTTCAGAAGCCCTCAACGGCTGGCCGGCAGATCCCGAGCGCGGGGCTCGCCCTGCCAGAGCGCGGTCGCCACCCGCGGCGAGGGCGTGACCCGCCCAAGGTCACCTGGCGCCCCGCTCCGCGGCCCCGCACGGGACGCCCAGGCCCGGGCCCAGGCCGGGCGGGGATGCTCACGCTCAGCCCGGGCCGCAGGAGGCCGTACTGCTCCGACAGCCAGAAGCCGCGCCGGTCCTCCAGCGCGATGAACGGCTGGTCGGGGAAGCGCGCGCGGAACTTCTTGAGGAAGCCGCCCTCGAAGTCGGCCAGCACGCCGTCCATGTCCACCAGCACCCGCAGGGCGCGGCCGCCCGCCCCGCCCGGCCCGCGCGCAGCCCCGCGCCGCCGCGGGAACCGCCGCGCCGCGGCCCGCCGCGACACCAGCCGCCAGCCGGATCATGGCCCCTGGCGGTCGCCCGCGCGGGGCGGGGACCCGGGCGCGCCGCCCTGCCTGGGCCGCCGGGAGACATGACCGCCGCCGAGGGCCGCCGCGCCGCGGGTCCGGGGGCGCGGGCGGGGCGCGGGGTGGGGCGCGGGCGCGGGCGCGCAGGCTCCGGCCCGAGCGAGGCCGCGGCGCGCGCCCCAGCCGGCAGCCCGGCCCAGCCGCCCTTAAAGGGACACGCGCCCGGCGGAGGCGGGGCCGGGGGCGTGGCTTCGGGGACTAACGGAGTGCTGGATGTGCCTGGGACGTCCACACTCCTCGGCTCACCACTCGCATCTTCTCCCTGGACCCTGGACCCTGGACCCTGGCCCCTGGGCCTGGGCTCCCTCGGGGGCAGACCTGTGTCATTAGACATTTCTTGAGCATTTACTGTGCGGAGCTGAGAACGACACAGGCAACGGTCCAGCCATTCTGGAACTTACCGTTTAGAAGGGGAGACTGACAATAGGATGGAGGAACCGAAACAGGGCGATGTGCATGCTCAGAGTCTCTGGGGAGAGATTGACAGTAGGGCAAATGCCATGCGAACACCACACAGCTTTAGTAAAACCAGTGACTTTCAAGTAAACATATAAATAATTATTATGTACCCCTGTATAATTTGTTTTTGTTTTGTTTTGTTTTTGCAAAAAGCAAAAACCTTAAAACAGAGCGCGGTGATGGGATGGTGGTGAAGTGGAGGGAGTGGCAGGGTTGCAGGAGGAGGCAGGGAAGGTCCCTCCTGGGAGGCGAAGCTGGAGCAGAGACAGGGTGATGTGAAAGAGCAGGCGAGGACCAGCGGTGAGGTCAGCAGGGGCAGCAGGCTGGAAGGCCTGGGGGCACGGTGGGGGGCTGGGGCTCAGGAGGGGGAGAAGGCCAAGGAGAGCACAACTTTCATTCATCTATTTATCTGGCAAATTTCAGTGTCCCCTGTGTGCTCGGTGGTAGATAGGAAGTGGTGAACAAAGTCCCCATTCTCATGGAACTGGCACTTTTGGATCTCTCTGAAAATATGGGAAGGAAAGCTAAGATGGCCCAGACTGAGGTCAGAGGGATGGTCAGGGGCAGGCAGGGAAGCAGGGCGGCACAGCTGGGAAGTATGGGCTGTGGGCTCACATGGACCCATGCCCCAACCTAGGCACAGCCTCAACCTCCCGAGCAGCTAGGATTACAGGCATGGGCCATTCTTTGATTTCTTACTTAGGCATTTTGTAGTTTTCAGTATACAGATCCTGCACGTTTTATTGGCTATTATCAAAACAAAACAAAACAAAAAAACAACAAGAAAATAACAGAAATACAACAGAAAATAACAAGTACTAGTGAGGATATGGAGAAATTAAAACCCTTGTGCATTCCTGGTGGGAACGTATACTGTGCGGACACTAGGGAAAATAGCATGATGGCTCCTCAAAAAACTTAAACAGAATTACAATATTATCCAGAAATTCTACTTTTAGGTATGTACCCAAAATAATTGAAAGTGAGGTCTTGAAAAGATATTTGTATACACATATTCATAGCAGCATTATTCGTAGCCAACAAGTGGAAGCAACCTAAGTGTTCAATCAATCAATGAATGGATAAACAAAATATGACATATGCAATGGAATATTATTTAGCCTTAAAGCAGGAATGAAATTTGGATACATGCTACAACATGGAAGGACCTTGAGGACATCATGCTAAGTGAAACAAACCAGTGACAAAAAGACTAATACTGTAAGAATCCACTTATATATGTGGTATTTAGAGTATTCACATCCATAGAAACAGAAAATAGAATGATGGTTGCCAAGGGCTGAGGGGAGGGCAAAATAGGAGGTTATTTAGTGGGTAGAGAGTTTCAGTTTTACAAGATGAAAAGGTTATAGAAGTTGGTTGCACAACAATGTGAATATACTTAAGACTACTGAACTGTGCACTTAAAAATAATTAAGGTGCTAAATTTTATGTTCTGTGCATTTTACTGCAATTAAAAATAAAAATTTAAAAAGGAATCACATTCTGACACATGGTACAACATGGATGAACATTGAAGACATTATGATAAGTAAAGTAAGCCAATTAACAACAGGACAAATATTATATGATTCCACTAATATGAGGTACTTAGGATAGTCAAATTCATAGAGATAGAAAGTAGAACAGTGATTTTCAGGGGCCGGGGGAAGGGGTAATGGGAAGTTATTGCTTAATGGGTGCACAGTTTCAGATGTGGTGATGAAAAAGTTCTAGAGATAGCAAGTGGTGATGATTGTACAACAATGTAAATGTGCTTAATGCCATTGAACTGTACACTTAGAAATGGTTAAAATGGCAAACCTTATGTATATTTTACATAAAGTATAAAAAATATGTATATTTTAATAAAAATATGTATATTTTACAATAAAGAAGAAACAATAAGGAAATTAAATGGCACACGAGAAAATATCTATTTAGCAAAAAATAATAACCAAATAATAGATACAAAAAGATATGAGATATTGAAAACCAATAGCAAAATGGCAGAAAAAAATTCTGCCTTACCAGCAATTAATTAAATGTAAATGGATTGAATATCCCAATCAAAAGGCATATATTGGCAGAATGTATATTTTAAAAACATGATCCAGCTATATGCTGTCTACAAGAGAAACATTTTATATTAAAAAATATAAAAAGATTGAAAGCTACAGAATGGGAAAAGGTATTGCATGCTAACAGTAACAAGAATACAGCTGGAGTGGCTAAGTAATATTAGACAAAATAGACTTCAAGACAAATATCATTACTAGAAATGAAGAGAGACATTTTATAACAAAAGAGTCAATCCATCAGGAAAATATAACAATTATAAACATATATGCACTTAACAACAGTGCCCCAAAGACAGAATTTAAGGGAGAAATAGACAATTGAAAAATAATAGTTATGGGCCAAATGCAATGGCTCACACCTATAATCCCAGCACTTTGGGAGGCTAAGATAGGAGGATTGCCTGAAGCCAGGAGTTCAAAACCAGCCTGGGCAACACAGTGAAACCTCATCTCTACAGAAAAATTTTTAAACGTAGCCAGGCATAGTGGTGCATGCCTAGTCCTAGCTATTTAGGAGGCTAAGGTGAGATCGCTTGAGCCTAGGAGTTCAAGGTTATGGTGAGCTATCATTGGGCCACTGAATGCTAGCCAGAGCAACAGAGCAAGACCTGTCTCTAAAAAACAAAACAAAACAAAACAAAACCAAAAAACAAAAAACAGTTTTAGACTTCAATTCTTACTTTCAACAAGGAGTAGAACAACTAGAAAATGAGGAAATAAAAGACATGAATAATACTAAACCAATTAAATCTAATAGACATTTATAGAACAACATTGTACCCAACAATGGCAGATACACATTCTTCTCAAGCACACATAGGACATGTACTAGTCATAAAACAAACCTCAAATAAATTTAAAAGGATTGCAGTCATACAAACTCTATATTACAACAACAATGATTAAATTAAAAAGCAATAAGAGAAGAGGATTTGAGAAATTCACAAATATGAAGAATTTCAACTACACACTGCTAAACGATAATGGGTCAAATAAGCAATCAGAAGAGAAATTAGAAAATAATTGAAAGGAATGTAAATGAAAGTTCACCATCCCAAAATTTCAGCCAAAGCAGTGCTTAAGGGAAAATTTGTAGCTGTAAATGTCTGTACTAAATAAAGCCCTCAAATAAATAATCTGACTTTCTACCTTAAGAATCTAGATACAACAGCAAACCAAATCTGAAGGAAACAGAAGGGAAGAATAATAAAGAGTAGAGCAGAAATACATGAACTAGAGACTAGAAAATCAATGAAACTTAAATTTGGTTCTTTAAAAATATCATAAAAATTGACAAACATTTAGCTAGACTTATTAAAAAACAAAGAGAGCCAGGCATGGTGGTTTGCAAGTGTAATTGCAGCTACTCAGGAGGCTGAGGTGGGAGAGTAGCTTAAGACCAGGAGTTTGAGAACAGCCCGGGCTACATAGTGAAACCCCATCTCTAAAAATTAAAATAAAAATAAATTAGCTGGGACTGGTGATGTGCACCACCAGTCCTAGCTACTCAGGAGGCTGAGGCAAGAGGATTGCTTGAGCCCAGGAGCTGGAGGCTGCAGTGAGCTGTGATCATGCCACTGCACTTCAGCCTGGGCAACAGAGCAAGACTCTGTTTCAAAAACAAAATCAAAAACCAAAGAAAGGACTCAAATTACTAGATTCAGGAATTAGAAATGAAAGAGGAACAACATTATCCACCCTATAGAAACAATAAAAGATTATAAGAGAATACTATGAGTAACTGTATGCCAAAAATTATATAACTTAGATGAAGAGGATAAATTACTAGAAAGATATTAATTGACAAAACTCACAACTCTAAAAGAAATAAAATAAGAAAATCTGAATATGCATATAGCCAGTCAAAAAAATCGAATCAGTAATTTTAAAACTTCCCCCAAAGAAATGTTCAAGACCAGATGGCTTCACTAATGAATTCTACCAAATATTAAAAGAAGAAACAATAGCAGTCCTTCCCAAGCTCTCCCCAATTCATCCTCTGAAGCCAGTATACTCTGACACCAAACCACACAAAAGACATCATAAGAAAAGAAAATCAAAGATCATAGACAGAAAAATATTAACAAATACTAGCAAACCAAATCCAGCAATGTTATAAAAATGATTATACATCATGACCAAGTGAGGTTTATTACAGGAATGCAAGTTTGGTTTAACACCCAAAAATCAATCAATGTAATACAGCAAGTAGCAAAGCATGGTGGTGTGTACCTATAATCTCAGCTACTTAGGAGGCTGAGGTGGGAGGATCCTTTGAGCTCAGGAGTTCAAGACCAACCTGGGCAACATAGTGAGACCCCCATCTCAGAAAAGAAAAAAAAAACAAAACAACAACCATAGCAAGCATTTGGCAAAATCCAAGAAACTTCATG